TTATTTGGGGTTATGATATGGTTTCCATACCGAACTGACAGCTGGTAGATCCACATCTGGTTCTTGGTTTTCTAGAGCCTACAGGGAGTTAGAGAGCATTCATTCCTTCAACACCTTTATTGAGTGCGTACCATCGGCCAAGCACTATTTCAGATGGGGAAGATACAACAATAAAATTTCAAAGCTTCTGCCTTCAGAGAGTTTACAATCCATCTGGGAGACAGTGGTAAGACAATACAGTTGCTTTGATGGAGGTTTGTCCAAAGTGTGGGGAAGCCCAGAGGAAAGAATGCCTGTTCAGTCTGGCTGAGTTGGAAGGTTTCCCTAAAGACCCAGAGCTTGAGTAGAGTAGGGCGAATAGGGATATGTAAGCAGGACAGTGAGAAGAACTTTACCAGCAGTGAGAAGACCCTCTGTAAAGACTCAGATGGGAGAGAGCATAGAGTGTCCTGGCGACTCCCCAGGATTCAGCATGGTGGTGAATAGGCAGATGTCAGCTCATGAATTGCCCTTTACGCTATCCAAGGAACTCTAGGTTTTATGACATAACCTAAAGGGGGTGACTAAAGCATTCTAATCACGAGGATGTATTAAATCTTTGTTAAATGAGGCGGGGGACTGGGCCTAGTGATTTGGAGCATTTCCTAACCTTGTGGCCTTAGGCAACTTCTTTGAATGTTTCCTTTTTTGTGAAACAAGAATTAAAATATCAGCCTCAAAGAGTTAAAATTTAAAAAAGTTTATGTATAATACATTTATAGGAGTAAGCCTAGCAATTGATAAAATCTTAACAAGTTATTTATTTATTTAGGCGAGGCAATCCTTGATTGACCTCACAGATTGCAAGGACCTTGTCAGCTTACAATCCCTTATTATTTTTTTTTATTTTTTATGCCTACAGCACCTGGTCTTCCTAGGTGGTCTCCCATCCAAATACTAACCAGGCCCGACCCTGCTTAGCTTCCGAGATCAGACAGCATCCGTCTTGTTCAGGGTGGCATGGCCATAGATGACAAATTATTTTTTAAAGATAACATTTGTTTTACAGAATACACATTACCTAAACAATCTAGTAATCTCTGTGACCCATTTTTTAGCCTGTTTCCTTCTCTTCAAAATGAGTCCTCCAATTTTACCTTTTCTTTGTACCCTGTCTTCCTTCCTAGGACTTATCGTAATGTTAATTAGATTTTCTATTTCCCAGGCCAAACTCTTAGACTATAACCAAATTATCTGTATTTTGTTTTTCCAGCTAAACTCTTGGGTCTACATGACCAGAGACTTTAAAAAAAATTTACCACTCTATCCATAGTTGCTAACACTGCCTGCCTCTTAGATGTTCAATAAATGTTGGCAAAAAGAACCAGTCTCAAGCTCATCTTTCGGGACTACTGCCAAGGGCTAGCAAATTGATAAAGTGTCTCATTATTTGTAAAATTGTACAGATGGGTTTATTATCACTAATTATTAAAATAAGGTGTTAGAAGAACGGAAGCCAGAGGCTCTCAACACAATCGTGTAGCCTCCGGAGGTTTTCAAAGGACCACGATTCACTTCAATTTTAAACAAGAGTGCAACTCTTCAAGGTTCACAAAGAGTTAAATCTGTTGTATCCTAGGCGAAAAAAAGCAGGAAGCGACCAAGTGTGAACTAGAGTTCAACTTCAAACTAGACTTGGAAGGTACCTGTCTAAGGTCACCTAGCGCACAGAAGAAGCCAGGCGCTCTCAAAGAGGCTTCGCCGCTGCTAGGGGGTTCCTGGGTCAGCTGGCAAAGCCGCCTGCCGCATTAGCCCTAGTCCCCAGCCGAGACCTCGGCTCAGCTCCTGAGCCACGTGGAACAGGGAAGAGGTCCCACAAGGTCTAGAAGAGGAGGAGGCGGAGCCCATCCTGAAACCGGCCTAGGGGGATCATGGGAGATATAGTTTTTCTCGAGGGTACAGAAGGATGCGTGCTCCCCCTGTTTTGCCTGGAAGTAGCATCTCGTCTCTTCAAGCCATTCAAAAAAAAAGTGTCCCACGTTATAGATGTAGTCTGGTATCTTTGAGAGAAGCAGTGAAGGGAAAGGCAAAAAGCAAAGAAGGCAAACCAAAAGATTATAGCAGGGAAGGAACGGGTTAACAGCTGTTACGCATGCGCGCACAGGACCCGCAGGGTGGGCTGGGACGGAAGACGACTCCCGGGAGCTATGTTTTCCCCGGAAGTATCTTCCCTCCTCCGCGCGGACGCGTTTCCTTACCTCATTTGTCCTCGCCCCTCCCCGTCCCCGTACGCGTTTTGGTTCCTGGTTGGTGCTTCCTGGTCACAGCCGCGGCAGTGAGTATGTGTGTGACGGACCCCGAGCAGCCTGTGGCCGGGGGACCCCCTGCCCGCCCTCCGTCTCGCCCGCCGGGTTGTGGAACTAGCGCGTGTTCCCTCGCCGGCCTCCGCGTCCCCCATCTGTCCCCTACTCATGGCGGGGCGCGGCTTGTGGCCCCTCAGTTGTGCTCTGCCCCAGGCGGCTCGGCTGACTGGCTGGGGTGTCTGCTTCTCCCTGCCGGGCCAAAGCCTGAGGTCGTGATTCGAAAAGAGCTGGGCTCCTATGGCCTCGGTGGGGACGGGGGTTCTGCCTATGTCTTCTCCATTACCTGTAGGATTCTTCTACCTTTTAGGGAAGCCGGTTAGTCAGTTAAACGCAGAGGTACCGCCTCACCGAGAGAGGTCCTGGCCTCTGTGAGGCTCGAACAGTCCTGGGCCAACACCAGCCTCTGTTAGAAGCAGCAGTTGGCAGCTGTAGGGCCAGAAAATTTTCGGGAGATGTGCCCCTTCCCCTATGTAAAACACGGAGATTTGGACTATGTTCGCTGATTCCCTTTATTCCTCCCATCGCATGAGCCTGCAATTAACTTCAACTTGAAGGAAGAGCTGCTGGTGAAGTCGGAAAATTGGCTGAGAGTCAGCAGGCCTGAGGTCTAGCCGCGGCTGATTAGGTGGTGACTCTAGGGGGTCTCATCTTTAGGCAGAATTTACCTTTATTTCAGATTATAGAATTGAATTAGGAGGGGCTTTTTTAAGGCTCGAATAATAAACTTCTCAGACGCGATTTTTCTATATGTAAATGAGAGCGTTTGATTTAGTGACTTTCAAGGTCCCTTTCAAAGCTCGACTTTGTGTTTTGAATACTTAGGCTGTCACATCCGAAGACTTTGAAGTGGGCAGTGTGTGTATTTCACACAGCATTACGCTTTCGGGGACAGTTCAGTATTGCCGTTTTCAAGAGAATCAGAGGGTGGGGAATGAACTGAGGAAGTGGAAGTGAAGATTGTAAGATAGTTAGAAAGATAAGACACTGGTAGCAAAAGGAAAAAGGGAAAGGTGAAAGAAGTGTTTTGTGATAGGATTAGTTGTCATAAAAAGACATTATGCATCCCAAGAACAGCTGGACTTCTCTGAATAAATTCAGCCTAATTTTCTCCCACCAACATCTTGTATTCTTTCTCATTTTTCGGACCATTGTCTCACACGTTTGGATTCTCTAACCCAGTCAGATTTGCTTCAAGGTGAAAGTCACACTTGAAGAATGGACAAATTTTAACGCTAGAGTCATCTTAATAGTTTTTTTATATCTGTCGCTGTCAGGATAGTTCACTAAGAGTAAGTCAGATTTTAAGTTGAAAATAAACTTTATATTAGTCACTTTCCAATGAAAACTGGGTTTAATATCAAACTGCGAATTTGATTTAAATCTTCTTGAGACAGATACCTATGTTATCAAGAAGAAACATCTAGGCTAAAAGTTCTTTGAAAGGAAATAAGAGCAAAAGGTCCAGAATGACCAAATGGTAGACTGTTGGAGCAGAAGTATTGGCTTTAAAGCTTGTGTAGTAAAGTCTGAAAGCTTAAATAAGCCTCAGTTGTCTACTTTAAAAATTAAGTGAATGAATACTCCTCCAACTTTTGAATAGTGAGAGCCTTTGCAGTTATTCTTTATAGCTGTTTTATATTTGTTAAGTCATTTTAATTCTTTAGATAAATTTCATTCCCAAACTAATATTTTATTTTTTTTTAACATAAGAACCTAAATCTTTTTTGGTCATGAGATTGCTATAATCTTTGAGTACCAATTTGGGAGGCTCCTGAATGGTGAACTGACAAACTCAAATGTATGCTTTTCCTTCCAATTAAAATGCCTCTTTGGTAGTTTTTGTACTTCACTGGAAAGTAAAATGGATATTTGTGAGGTAAATTTAGTTGTTAGAACCAATGCAAATATAGCTTTGAAGGAAGGTTTCTTTGAAAACAAAATATTTATTTAAAATTATTTTAAAAATTAAAAAAAAAAATAGTGAACACTTGGCTGGGAGGGAAATATGAATCAGTCCTAGCTCTGTTCTTAGCCAGCTACAAAACCTTGGATAGGCTATCTCTCTGGACCTCAGTTTTGTTATATGTAAATTGAGGATGTTGTATGAAATAATCTGAAAGGTCTCTTCCAGATTTAAAATTTTGTGATTCTCATAGGGACCTTATCTACTTAAGTATGCTTGAGAATCATGTACATTGATCAGAAAGCTGAAAAAGCTGTCTGAATCAACATATATATATGCATATATTTCATATTTATCCTCTGAGTATACACTTTAAAAAAAAAGTAAATTAAATGCATTTGAATGTAATTAAAGTAGTAGCATAAACCAAAACAGCCTCAGGCAAACGTTAACCCTGGCATGCATAAGCTACATAAATAGAAGAGCAAGTTATGCTGAGCACAATTTTCAAGTACAGAAGATACAAAATCCTCTTAAAGGCCATAGGGGCTAAATTGTTAAATTTCTTTTTCTACATTTCAAGGAAAGAGATAAACCCTTAGACCCAAGGAAGTCAGTTTTTATTATATTTCTGTAGTTTATTTTTGGCATACATTCACAGGTGTGCCTATGGCTCTATTCTTAATCCCTTTCCTTTGGGACGGCTCCAAGAGTAGTACAAATTTGTAACTCTGTAATTTAGCTCTTTAATTTTTTTCTGTGCTGCACCGGAATTATGTTTTATCTTAAGTCCACACTGGATCCTCAGGATGGATCCAGTGAGGATTTTGAAGGGAGCATAATTCCTTTGACTTCTTTTAGAATTAATTTACCTATTAAATAAAAAGGAAAGGATTCATCTTTTATTTGAATTCCTCTGAGGCTAACATTTCAATATAAACCGATAAATGCTGTGAGCATTATTTATTATTCAGACAGCCACGTTCAACTTCTATGACAACAGCATAGCAACCTGAAGGACAGTACAAGAAGGGAACAGGTAAAAAAACCATACCTTTAAAAAAACATATCTTTTAGAAGGAAAAAGGCATTAAAAGTTTGTTTCTGACCCCCCATCTTTATTGAGACATAATTGACGAATAACATTATGTAAGTTTAACGTGTACAGCATGATCTGACATACATATACATGGTTATTATAAAAAGATTAGACACATCCATAACCTCACACATTTCCTTTTTTTATTGAGAATATTTAAGATCTACTCTTAGAAGATTTCAAGTTACAATACAGTATTGTTAACTCAGAACTTGATCATCTTTTTTTAAAAATCTATCTTTATTGAGGTATAATTGACATATAACATTTTGTAAGTTTAAAGTGTCTCACAAAAGTTTTTAATTTCCGTAAAAAATTTCCATTCCAATAATTTCATTTTTGGCTCTTTTTTTATTTGGTTCTTGGAATCAGCTAGTTTTGTCACCAAAACTACCATCAGAACACCCTGACGTTTTGGGCAGAGAATTGGTAAACTGAGAAAATGGCCAGTCTTTGCAAATTGTATCTGTATAGCTAAAAGGGGAATAGAAAGAATAAATTGTCATTGTTATTGTTCTCTAGGTTGTCTCTGATTTGTGAACAAACATGAGTTATTTTTCCAGAGCTCTCATTTCGATCAATATTCCATCAGTACTTAATTGAAACATCTACTGTATAGATTTTTGGTTGATATGAGAATAGTTGGAATAGTTGGAGACAAGTGTGAAATTCATCCCATCATAATTTCTAGATTTTAGGCACATATTAGATTTATCAGGGCTGAAGAACAAATGAATTTATTATTCATTAATTCAGCAGACATTTGTAGAGTTCCTGCTAAATACCAGTTACTCAGCTTGGCTTTGGGGATCCATTGTTTACTAAGTGTGTGTAGTTCCCTGCCCTCTTGGGGTATGTGATCTGTGTTTGTGGGAGATTTACTTTGAATTAGTAATTAGAAATACAGTGGTGAGTGTTTTGAAACATGAAGTCCTATGGAAGCCTATAAAGGGGGACACTTAATTTCGTCTAGTGGCTCAAAGAAAGCTTCCCTGAGGAAGTGATGTTTAAGCTGAGTTGAAGGATGAGCAAGATTTAATATGCTCACTGTAAGAAAGTAAAGTTCTCCCAGAGCTAAGAGTTTTGCCTCAAATTTAGTAAGTTTGTATTTCATATACATCTTTATAGCTCGCACAGAAGTAAACCAGGTTTATTAGATATTTTTCTGTATTTTTTTGGTCAGTGATCAGAAAGCTATGAGATTAATTTTTACATTGAGAATAAAAATCTACATAAAAATAGTAAAATTTAATTATTACTTGTAGATTTTAGTCATAGCTGAAATAATATTCCTGTATGAGAATGTATATCTGAAAAAGTGAGATTCAGAACAAGGGAGAAGATGAAGAATGGAACAAATAGTGAGAATTACCTAAAATATTTTTGCGATTTTTAACATGTTAGAGAAAAAGTATTTGGTGTCTGAGGCAGTGGATCTCAACCTATTTTTTCCTTTCCAGCATACCTGCAAAATGTGACATTTCCATTCATAACTGTAACTCAATTTGTTGGTGGTCATTTTCATTTGAGAGAGGTGGGCATTATTAGAGTTGGTCATAATAAGATTTAGAAATCCTTGAAAAAGTGCTCTAAGAAAAAGATATTTTAATATGTCATTGAGAAAAGTGATAGCCTCTATATAAAAGTTCTAAGAGATGATGTCATTATGTACTCAGGTATGATCTGAGCATTTAAAATACATTCCTTGTATGACCTTCTCTTTTACAGCATCAAGATTACTGACTTTCCATGATGTTTGGTGGTTATGAGACTATAGAAGCATATGAAGATGACCTTTATCGTGAAGAGTCATCTAGTGAACTGAGTGTTGATAGTGAGGTGGAATTTCAGCTCTACAGCCAAGTCCATTATGCCCAAGATCTTGATAATGTCATCAGGGAGGAAGACCACGAAGAAAAGAACTCTGGGAATTCTGAATCATCTAGTAGTAAACCAAGTCAGAAGAACTTAATTATCCTTTCAGATAGTGAGGTGATCCAGCTATCAGATGGATCAGAGGTCATAACTTTGTCTGATGAAGATAGTATTTATAGATGTAAAAGAAAGAATTTTAGAGTCCAACCAAAAGAAAAGACCCAAAGTCCTCCCGCTTCTCTTCATTCTAATGAGTTGGATGATATATGCAAGAGGGATACTGAGAAGCCTAACCCTGAGGAGAGATCAGGTACTATCCGAGAGGTCATGATTATAGAGGTCAGTTCAAGTGAAGAGGAAGAGAGCACCATTTCAGAAAGTGACAACGTGGAAAGCTGGATGCTGCTGGGATGTGAAGTTGATGATAAAGATGACGATATCCTTCTCAATCTTGTGGGATGTGATAACTCTGTTAATGAAGGTTAGTATCATATTGGCCATTTTGAAAAGTAGTGTCATCTTTAGAAGACTGCTTTCCTAGACAAAACACCAGTAGGGTCTGCTCCATTTAATTCCTCACTTTTTGGTCTTTTTTGCCTTGTTTCTCATGAGACTTACCAATTGCTACTCTAATGGTCTGTGAACATCAGAAAGAGTATGTCAGAATATCAAAGACACTCTGCTTTTGCTGTAAGCAGTTTCATAGCTGCTTCTTGCTGTTTGGCTAAAGCCAGTTCTGGACCTGAAATCTTAGTTCCCCTCTCTCTCTGCTTGGTACCACAGGTGAGTACTCCATCTACCTCTGACATTGGTCCTGTGCTCTCATTCAGCCAATTCTGTTGGAACTGCCTCTTTCTATGTGATTTGCTTACCTAGGAGTTAGCCAGGTAGGAAGCATGAGGAATGTCTGGTACACAGAGGACATGGAATTAGCATTAAGTTTTTAGGAACTCTGCAGTCAGGTAGGAATACACAGTAGACTGTAGGAGAGAATGCAAATTGTGAGAGTCACATCATTGAGGATTGAAATTTTTGTATTAGCTTTGTCCTCTCTGTCACATGTGGTCATCTAGTATCGATGCTTATTCTTTTAAAAAGTCTCTTTCATTTCTCACCCTTTACGCCTAATGCCTAGTCTTTTGGAATAGTTTTCTAAGTGATCTTTTTATATATCTTCCCTGCACACTGTTGTTAAACTAGTGGTCTTGAAATATCCTTTTACTCATGGTACTTTACAGCTGCTCCAAAACCTTTCATGATACCATCAGAGGAAATGATGACATTGAATGTAGATCATGCTTTGTAGCTCCAGAGGTTGACAAACTTATTTTTTTAAGGAGTTCAGATAGAAAATATTTTAGGTTTCCAGGTCACAGGATCTCCTACCTACTTAACTTTGCCCTTATTGTGGGCATGATACCTAAGAAATATGATGGTTATTCTAACAAAATCTTGTTTATAGAAACAGGTTTATAGAAACACAGCCTCAGGCTGTGTAGTAGGCCAACCCTGAGAATTTGACACCAAAAGGAAGAAAAGAAATATAATAGAACATAGAGCAAAGTCAAGTAAAGTTTTGTCAGAATAAGGGAGATCTAATAATGTTTTTAGGTAGAAGGGAAACACTTTTGAAGGAGAGATTAAACCTGTTTGGTGAATTGGAGGGAGAGTCGAGTAAGAAAGGGTCAGGTGTATGTCTGAATTAGTTTTAAAAGGGTAAAGACACCATTAATTGCTATGTTATCAAATATTTGTAGAGGTAGAGAAGAACTGCATTGTTTTGGGGAGATAATTGTATTTATTCTTATTGAGAAATTAACATAAAATTAACCATTTTAAGATGTTCAATTTGATGGCATTTAGTAGAACCATACATCTGTCTAGCTCTAAAACATTTTCACCACATCCAGAGGAAACCCCGAACCCATTAAACAGTCACTCTCATTCTTTCCTCCCCTAGACCTTGGCAACCACTAATCTGTTTTCCATCTCTATGCTTTACCTGTTCTGAATATTTCATATAAATAGAATCATACAATATGTGACCTTTGTGTCTGGCTTTCACTTTGCATAATGTTTTGGAGATTTATGCAAGTTGTAGCATGTATCAGTACTTCATTACTTTTTAAGGCTGAATAATATTCCATTTTATGAATATACCACATCTTATTTATCCATTCATCAGTTAATGGACATATGGGTTGTTTCCACCTTTTGGCTCTTGTGAGTAGTGCTGCTGTGAACATTCATGTGCATGTATTTACTTGAATACCTGTTTTTGGGTATTCTTTTGGGCATATACCTGAGAATGTAATTATTGGTATTTCTATGTTTTACTTTTTGAGGAATCGCCAAACTTATTTTCCACAGTGGCTGCACCGTTATTAATTCCCACCAGAAATGTAGGAGGCTTCCACTTAACTGCACTGTTTTTATGATAACTTGTTATGTTGCAAATTTCTCTTTGATTTGCTGATAGGCTTTTTGTTGTTTCTTACAGTTTTGTCTCCTAATTTGTTTTTTAAAGCTGTCGCTTATGTTGGCTTATGTTTTTCTAGAATAGATTTTTTCGCACAAATATTCCTTGTATGTTTTCATCCATTTATAGCTTTTAAAGAAACTGATTCTTTATAGGTATGTATTCCTTTAAAGTTTAGTTTGTGTATATTAGTAAAAATGTTCGCTATGAGACCAAAGTAATTCCAAATAATTCTTGATTCCAGACATTCTGTGCATGTTCCTATTTTCCATATTGAAATTTGTCTCTACTCTTTGCTCCTAGGATTTGTTTTTTTGTTCCATCCAAATTGAAACAAATTCTGCAGTTCTGCAAATTAACTTGCTTAACTCTTACAGATATTCAAATATCTATCCCTATTTTATTTCCTTGATCTACTAATGCCATAATCCTATTTCTTTCCAGTTAATAAGCAGCATATTCAGTATTGATGTCTATTTGAGTATGTTGTTACTCTCTAATCATTATCTAATCATTATCTTGTTCATAAATAGATTTGGGAATAGGTCTGGTTCAGTTTATGTAATAGTCTTTAGAGAAAAGATTTTTTTCATGTCAGTGGAAGTTTGTGGAAATTCTGATATACTGTTGAAATGATTGTTAAACAGTGGCACTAGCTATTTTGTGTACTGTTCTACTTTCCCTCAAAACTCTCCAAACTGTGGCATATTTAAAATATTAATAGGATATGAGAGAAGAGACTATATACTCCTTGAAGACAGATCTTTAACTCTTAAATAAGGCTTCCTTATTTTAGAGTAATTCCTTGACATATATATTACTTTGTTTTTCATTAATTGCTAAATGAGAAAACATTTATTGAGCATCTACTCTATGTAATCTGAATTTTGTGGTATTGTTTACATACTCCACTGTCTCTTGTGTTTTCTGTGAATTGGTAGTTAGATCTAGAAGCAATCAGATTTCTCTCTCTCTGATTAAACCATCAACTAGATACAAAGATAGGTTTGTTTGTTTCATTTTGCTTTTGATATATTTATTTGTCAGTATTATCTTTTAAACATTTAAATTGTTTTATAAGTATGTAAAATGTTTATCAGGCTCCACATTCAAATCAACAAAACAAGGAAAAATATATTCAGAAAAGTCTACCTTCTATCCAGTCTTCACCCTTATGGGTTAACTATTAAGAGGAAATTAATGGTTTGCCTTTGCCTTTACATTTATCTTTAACCTTCTCTCTCCTTCCTGAAAATAAACAGTAACATAATATCCACACTTAGCTCTACCTTGTCTTTTTTCTGTTTACAGTATATCCTGGAGATCATGTCCATAGTAGTATGAAAAGATATTTTTCAGTTCTAGGACAGTGGACTATTTTTATGTCTTGTACAGTAATCTGAGTTGGAAACAAGGGTGTAACAAATATTTTTTGGAAGTGAATGCATAGTAATTTAAAATAATTGATGGTTCATATACTTACTTTAGTCTTAAAATATATTTTAAACAAATGTAGTCTAATTCTACTTTGAGAAGCATGCTTTATATTTATTCCTGGTCTTAATGTTTCTTCTCATTTAGTAATTTTTAAAGACTTAGATTTAGCAAAAAATTAAAGAGGTTCAGATTTTAAAAAGAAAATACCTTTTAAATACTGAAGAATAGAGCATTTCTAAAAAGTTGAAGAGCCATACTAGTTTCTAGTATGTGACTGTTACAGTATAGAATTTAACATTAATGTAGAGCTCTTTTAGTATGTACAATTTGGCACATTGCTCCTTTTGTTTGTCAGCTTTTGGCTGACACAAAGTGGATACCTAGCAAGTCTTAGGTGAATTTAATTGAAGTTTTTCCTTTGTATATAGAGTGGTGTTCTTTACATAGTACTACATGAAGTTAAAATGAAATTATGGCTTGATTAAAGTAAAACCACAGTGGATTTGAACAATTTAGGGCAGTAAGTCTTTCAACTGTTTTTGTGTCAAGACCCTTTCTCCCCTAAAAAAATATGCATATGAAAGTTTTGGATACAATTTCCAAGGAAGAACTCATTTAGAGGTAATGGTTGAATCCATGGCACTTATTAGGGATTCAACCAAAGCTTGATAACTAATTAAAATTTTAGAATGGGTTACCTATTTTAAATTTTTTTCAAATATGTTATATTTTATTTGATCTGGGTCTTTACATGTGTTGTTTTTTTCTTCTACCTGGATCAGTTTCTACCTCAGGTCTCAATTACTTCTGAGTGAGGTAACAGACATAGGGTCTCAATTAGTGGTAGTTATTAGGTCTGTTACAGCTCCTCAATAGACTAGCTGTGACTTTGGGTGACTTAATTTCTTTATTGGCAAAATAATAAATTTTATTAAGGTTATAAAGCAAAAATGAGACAATGGATAGACTAAATTAATGTATTAGGGAAGTATTTTGCCCAAACTCATAAGATCGGTTCCCGATCACTGTGGCAAGAAGCATAGGCATATAGCTTCCACTTTTTAAAAAATAAATTTGTTTATTTAAATTAGTTTCAAGTATACAGTACATTGGTTAGACACCACTTGGTTTTTTTGAGTTAAAAGTTCTCAAGTTTTTTTTATGAACCCAAGTTACTTTTTGAACAGCATGTCTCTAGTATGGCAGTTTCCTTAACTAAATTTTATTTGATTTGATTACATTTTGTGATCTACTAATTAAAACTAAATCTAAAGTTTTAAAATGAATCCAACAATTACTTGTTGGATGCTTCAAATGTACAAACCACTAAACCATTAAGATGTTGGGATTCAAGAATTGCTATGTATTCCCTGCCTTTAGAAACCTTAAAATGCATGACAATATGGAAATATGTAATACCAGAGTTAAATATATTTCTACAAATATAAGAGATGCCCCAGCACAGTATATAATCATTTCCAGATGAAAGTAATAGACTTTTTAAAAAAGATTACTGTAGATAAGCAAAGTAGAAGACTAAATTGAAAAGTAGCCTTTTGAACTGA